TTTTTTTTTTTTGGATTTTTCGATTTTAATTAATTTTCATGAAAATATGTCGAAAAGAAGAAAGTGAAAATATAAAAAATATTGAGAAATATTAGAAAAAAAAAGATATATAAAATTTCTTTGATGTGATATAATAATGATACTTTCAAGTAGTTTGAAAGAAGATTAATTAAGAAATTATGAAAGTTGAAAATAATCATTACAATGGAATGCAGCATAATTTATATATTAACTCATGGACGATTTCTCATTTCTCATCAAAATCGATTTAGAAAAAATTATATTTTTCCTTTTTTTTTTAAATTGTGATAATTTTTATAACAAAGTATTATATAAAATGTATGATGAAATAAATATAAAATAATACTTATCTTGTATCTAATTCATTAAAAATAAATTCATCAAATTGTTGAGATTTTTTAATCTTCAAATCATTAAAAAATCTCAATAATTTGATAAATTTATTTTTAAACATGTCAACGTGTGGAAGACACGTACAATTAACTAGATAAATAAGTAAGTCCGTGACAATGTGTTAAATTAATAGGTTAGTGTTTTTATATTTATCTTATATCTGCTTTTTTTGAGCATACTTGTTTATATTTATTTATACAAATATATAGACACAGAATATATTTAGAATTTTTAAATATATTAGAAATCAAAAAATTAGCGATTTTAATTTATTTTAAAATGAGAAATAGATCCATTTTTAATATGATTATAAATTATACAGAATTCCATGAATACTTAATTAATTGAAAAAAAATTTGAAAAAAATTTTTCATAATTATACACAAGATAAGAGAAATAATTTTTCTATGTTCTTATAAATTTCCGTTTCTGGTTATTATATGTGCGTAAAACAAATTATGGTTCAAGAACATAGCGTGAAGTTTCGATTCTTTTTAATAATCAACATACAATTTTTAATTTATACTATTTATGTATGAATACAAAATCGAACAATTCAATATTATGTATCAATTCTTATTTTCGAAATAATTTTAGTGATAAATAAGTGATCTTCGATTTTTTTGATTTTTTTAAGCTTTTTTTGTTAATTTTTTTTTCTTACATTTTTTTTTTTCTTCTTTTTCTTTCAAATTCTTTTAAGAATTTCTTCACGCTATATTTTTTTGAGGCGTAGAATTGCTTTAGATGATGATCATCAACGATGACGACAACAATATCTAGCTAAACATTGAAGAACATCGAATTGTTGTTTTACAATTTTTTTTTTTATTCTTTTTCATTTTGTTAATACGTGTTCAATCCCTGCGATCAGTCTGAATCTAATTGACAATGTGTATACCAGAAAAGTTTTCTTTGTTTCTAGCAAAACTTATTGCCTTCACTATCCATTATATTTACTTTGCATCATTCTTCGTTTGTTTGTTTTTTAAAATTGTTGTTGTTGTTTTTCTTTTGTTTAATTCGCTAAACGTCCAAATAACTAATTAACTACAATTATATATATGTGTGTGTATTTTTTGTGATTATTATATTATGATTTTTCGTGCGAACTTCTATTTCTTTTTTCTTCTTCATTCTGGTTATAATAGAGATATTTTTTGCTCTTTCTCTCTCTACTTCCGCTACATAATATATCTCATACACGAACGCAAAAAGCTTATCTAATTGTCTTTCTATAAATAATATAACCAACTATTAAATTTCGTATCCAATATGTCGACGATAAATAATTTCGAAGATATCGATTTTTCTTTCGAATTATTGATTTTTTTGCGATTCTTTTCCACTGTCAGAATTACTATAAATTACACTGTAAATTATTGACAAATTATTGCTTAAATTTTTCGACATTAATATTTACATTGATACTTATATATTATATATAATAATTTAATATTAATATTTATAATAATTAAATAATTGATTATTTTTTAGCATAAATCTGCTTAGTGAATTTTTATTTTTTATCATGAAAATTTATTATCACAAAAAAAATAATTGAAGTTTAAAGTTAGACAAAAAAAAAATTGACTTCTTGAAGAAAATCTGACAGTGAAAGATATCAATTTTAAATACCAATCGAAATATACACTGTACATAAACTGTCATCGATCTTGTTTAACCAGATTTTAATTTATAAGGAATATCAATTTATTTTTTCTTCAAGATAATGTTTGAGTTCACATGTAAATGAATTGTAACTAATCATACAAGAAAAGTGAACCATTATTCAAAGGTTAGGATCTCTTGATTTTACATATGGTACGCTTAATCTACAGTTTTTTTAGTGGAGGCAGTAGCGTATATATATTCTGGATTAGACGACGATACTGTGCAAAGAATATTTGATAAAATTCGTTTCGTCATAAGAACAAGAATTCTTCCGGGCAGTTCACTTTTTATTTTTAATAACCTTCTAATAATTTTTAGTAATAATTTTGAGTATTTTTTAAACAATTAAATAAATATTATTATTTTGAAAAATAATTTGAAAAAATACTTTTTAAATAAAACAATTAAAAATTCAGATTATATTTTATATATTGTTTTTAACAATTTTGCTAAAATATAAAATTATAATAAGAAAAATAAATTATTGAATCAAAAAATATAAATAATCATTCTTCATATGATTCTTCATATGATGATAAAAATCATAATAAAAAGTCATCAATAAAGAATTAAACATAAGGAACAAAGTGAACAAAAGAGAAAACAAAAAAAATTATTTTTACATAGACACACATCATCTTTTTTTATTTCATATTACAATATTACACTTATACCATGATCTTCGGTATTTAAAGGCGAGGATCGTGAGTCATTTCAGAACAGAAAAGAAAGAGAAAAATTTGCCATATACAAATTTACTTCGCATCTCTTTCCATTTTTTTCTTTCCTCTCTTTATCGTTGCTAGAATGTTCTCACATTCTACATAGTTTGTATTGTCCTGACTGATTTACATATATTACACATTATTATTAGAATTCCATTGAAAATCACACATCTTTTATTTTTAATTTTTATAACTTTTTCTCTGCCACGAAAGAAACAACTGCCCTAAATAATATACTTGAAGCGAACTTTATTTTATTGTTTTTTCTTTGTTCTTCTTTTTTAATTCGTTAGTATCACAAGTACGTTTATACAGTACGTATTTTTGTTCTTATAGACATTAAAACTTTTATATGTCTAGACAATGATGGTGTACAATGTACTTGAAAACTATTTCTAATGAAGCTTGTAGGATAGCTACATAATTTGAATACATATATTTTTGTGCTCTTCATAGCTGCATTTTCCCCGTTTTTTTTTTTTAAATAATTTTTCTTATTTTCTTTGATTAAAAGCTTATTCAATGAAATTTACTCCGTTTTAAACGACGATTTTATTTGTTAGTTTTTTTTTAAAGTGCGTTTTATAACCAGTGCACGGACAGTGTACTCGTTTAGATTTACGATTTTCGTTTCTCTCCTATTTCTATTTATGCATTTATTCGAACTTCATTTCATGTGTTATTGAATATAGTAGAAACAATAGTTTCTATTATATCGCATTATGTTGCTTTTCTTAAGTTTTTTCTCGAATGAAAGTCAATGAATGGTTATTATTTTATTCGATTAATTTCATCATAGAAACTTTATAATTAAGTTTTAAAAAAGCAGCATTCTATGGAAAGTCGAAAATCGTAGAAATATTACGAGAGGAAATTGTTTTTAATAAAATGGAAGTAATCGTGTGTCTCACTACAGTATAAAATGCTTCAATTTTTTATTTTTTCTCGATGTCTTGTTGTGAAAGTATTAGAAAATTCTTTTCATAGTACAAAATAAATTTGCTTTCAAACCTAATTTTTTGATCTGATTTAGAAACAAATCAATTTACATAATCGATTAAAATCTACATCTGTCTAATTTGTCTAATTTTCTTAAAAAGTGTGTTTCCTTTTATAGTTAAATAATACTTAATATCTATCATTCTTTTTCATTTTTCTTCATTCTTTTTCTATTTTTTCAATGATAAACAGAAATTCATATTTAAAAAGCGATAGAAACGGTAGATTCTCTCGCGACAGTCTATTGATTCTAATTAATTCACATAGTAAGAGACTATAAGCTCAGATAATTTTTTCTGGTCGTGTGTGGTTGTGTATGATTGATATCGATTTATTGATATTCAGAGCCGAGCGAAACGCTAGACGCGGTATAGAAAACTTATGGTACAATATTTTGCAAAATTCTTCCTCTTCTTTCAATGAAACATAATTACATACCATCTTCTTAATATGCCTATCTGCAAATGCTATGAAATGGTATGTATTCTGATTCATTTCTTGAACGAGAAAGTTATTAGGATAACAAAAAAAAATACCATGATGAGACTCTTTTTTATTGTCTGAGTTTTGCGCGAAACTCTTATGAAAAAAAAAAACATAAGAGCATCATCACAATAACATACTTTCTTTCCTTCGGCTCTGATACTTTACTTCGTAGATTAAAACTGAAGTACTATGTGTAAATATGTGTGCTCTATAGCAGAGGGAGAGAAAGAGAGCGAAGCGAGGCACAGGCGTGTGTTCGTTGTGGTCACTTGAGACACAAGAAGCGAACGCGCTGCTCTTCTATTCGCATGTTTCTATCTGTTCGCTTTTCTTCGTGTCAATAATATAATCGGTACCATGCTTTTAATCTCTTTTACGATCTTTATCACTGTAATATTGTTAAACGCGTATAAGATCAGTACGAACTGTTTATCTTCTTCTAAAGCTACTTTTGCTCTCAGATTCTAGAATCGTTTTACATTCAGAGTATCATTGTATCGATTCGATTGATGTATGTTGTTCAAATATTTTCGAATCGTGTGTACACAGTACGTGTTTCGTGTACATATATAGATAGTCAGTGTGTGTCTTTCGGGATATACGTGAGACAAACTACACAGAGTGTCTTCTGCAACGTGTGTTTCTCTTGATTAGCGTGGTATTATATACTGTATTTTCTTCCTTCATTAAAATTAATTTTTTTTTTTTTTTACCTTAAATGATTTCGTAATATATATATTTACATTTATCTATCTACAATAACTACACATCAACAAATACGGTTAGGTTAGCATTCTTATAGTGTTGTGTTTGTATCATAGTATTATATCATCAACATCATCATTCGATTCATGATTTTCTTTCGTCTTTCTCTCATTATTGATTCTCTCCATCGTAGAGATATATTTATTTTCCCTTTCAATCTCGATTACCATTCACTCTTTCATTTCATTCTCTCTTTTACTCATTATCATCAATCATCGGAACAAATGAACGATTGCATAATCTCTAAAAATGATTCATTATTACTATTATCATTAATATTATTATTATACTCGCGACTAGTTCGAAGGCAATACCACGATCATAATAATAATCATTATCATCATTATTATTTTTATCTCATTATTATTATACGTAAGAAATTTATGCCATCGTGGTCGATCCTTCGATCTTTTACTCAAACGGCACGCGATTATGTGAAATCAAAATTATTAATTAAAATAACGACGATTCTTTCAACGAAACATATATATGCGTGAATATTTTATATATATATAAAAAAAAATAAATACGCAACTTAAAACAAAACGAAAAACAAACGATTAAACGAATTGATCAGTTATAGTCATTTGCAGTCCTTAGTTTAAAGTTTCTGACCTAACTTGTTAGGACCTTCTTTCAGTTTTTCTCCATCATTATCATCATTACTATCCTTCTATCTTTTCTCTTTTATCAATTTTTGTATTACCTTTCTATAAAAATCACAATTCCATTATCTTTTTTCTCTCTCTCTCTCACTCAATGTTTTCTATTAACTTTTAACAAAATACGTCTAGGATTTCTGTTTAAAAATCTATCGACGGTAATCGAGCTAACTGGTAATCCCGTTAATCGATTTTTTAATCTCCTCTGGTAAAAATGTCTCTCAGAAATATTAATAATTATCCTCCATATGTTTTGATACTTTTTCGACAACGATCAACCTCCACGCGAGATTCGGGATTCAAGTCATATTAGGCTGTGGTGAGGGCGAAATCGCAGACAAAGAATACAAGGCTGTGTCCTATATGAATGCCCAACATTCTAGCGTTTTCACTACGAAATCTTCTCGGGGCGCCAATGGTTCATTTCCGTATGTGCTACACGATTGTGTCCTGCCTTGATAAAGATCTCCATCCAGCCACAATCCAAATTTGCCACTAGAAAACAATTGCCAATTGTAAATATAATTCTAATTTTTATTCTAAAATTTTGTTAAAACATTATTGAATAATTAAATTAACACATATATTTTCTTCATAAATTCCAGACATTTTTATAATAGACACATTTTATAAAAGATATAAGATCTTTCTAAAATTCTACTTACTCTCCAGCACCGATGGCGAGACTCTCATTGTTACCCTTGATGAAATAGAGATTATCTCCAGTCCAATGGAATGCCTGGAACCTAGGCGTGAACTTGAAAAGAAGGGACTCACCGGTTCCGTAAAAATGATCGCTCACATGCAAAGAGCACGAAGTCAATGCACCAAATACCTGTAATGATATAACAATGAATAGATGATTCATTATTCCAGTTATAGCTAATAATGTAATGAATCATTTGCCTTGAGCATTGCAAGATTATATAGAAATGAAAAGATGATACTGGAGATGACATAAGGTATAAGATTCAGAGAATTCTTTATTATCTAATTTATTCAATATTATATTATTATGTAATCTGATTTGTTGATTTTTCAGCCAATAATTACATTTATATTGGTTTTATAAGAAATTATTAATCAAACCTGTATCTCTTTTATATAGATTCTTCTTTTTCTACAGTAAATGTCATGGTTAAGTATATTTACAATTATATTATATTTCAATAAAGATGGATATTATATTAACTAATTTAATGGAATATGAGATATAAATATTTAATACGAAATTCTGGAGATGTTTCAAGACAACGATAGTTATATCTCAAGATTTCAGTTTAGCAAAGTAAAATTTCAATCAGTTAATGAATCAATTACTGTCATCATTATTTTTATAGGTAAAATATGAAAAGGATTTCTTGGATTAATCCAAAAATTAAAATAAAGAATTCCAAATAATTTTAGAACTTACATTGCCTTCGGTATCCTCGATTACCAAGAGGATGGGACTTTCTATTTTAGCCATCTTCCTGTACATACTGTTTAGACTAAATCCATGCTGACTTGTGCTAAAGACAAGCGTCCAAAGGTAACCTTCCGCTCTGGCAGGTAAATGTCGGCACAATTGTTCCCTGTGCTCGTCACTTAAAATCTCAGTGACTCCTACCAGATCAGGAACGATGACATCATTGTCTATGGAGACTGCACTGTTTGTGTACAAAGCTCGTCTGAGCTCCTCGCTCATAGACAATACCTACGAATATAGAATTCAAATTTTAATAAATTGGAGATTTGATTTGATTCAAGAAGTGTCTTGGAAAATAGGATCTACGAGAGATTAAAGTCGATCGCTAAATTCATCGTTTTAGTATATTTTATTTAATGGAAAATTTTTCCAGAAGAATTTTTAATAATATTAATTCTTTAAAATAGGATCTCTCAACATTATTATCGAATTTTTATATGTACACAATATATATACAAGTAATTTTTAATCAAGTTATTTCAATTAAAAGACTCTGATATTTCTATAAAAAAAAAAAAATTATTTTAAGATTTCAATATCACTTGAAAAAATTTTTCAAAGAAAAAGTCTAATCGAAACTTTTAACATTTTAAATGATATTATTGTTAAATCAACAAATAACTATGTATTATACATATTAGCATTCGTTTGCAGGTATTTAGTTGCAATTATGAAATCCATGAAGTCAGAGAAACGAAGATCTTATTGTTGCAATGCAATTTGTGATTAATTATGATTAACGATGTACTCAGCGATGGGGATTTTACAACATATCGAAAAAAATATACATATGGAAAAGAAATTACTTGGTCACAACTATAGGAATAGGTTTCATTGATTTCTAAGCCTAAATTCTAAATCTAATACAACTAAGACACATCACTACGCATTCACAAGTGTGATATGTTGTAATTGTTGTTTTGTAATGTTCTCAGTTGAGTGTTCTGTGACGAAGATATTAAAGATAAGTATGTGTATATAACTATGAATATTTATAAAGAGGAAGAATTCCTTCTTCCATACTTCTTACATATCAACGCTATATTTATTAACTGCGTTCATCTTATTCTGCCTTGACCTTTCTTTCCAATAAACTCAGCAAATAATTATGCAAGTATCATCTTCGCAAATATTCTTCATGAAATACATCAAATCAATGTTTGAAAAAAATAATGATTCTTTTATTCATATATAAAAGAGAATAATATTTTATTTTAATTTTATAAAAATGTACTCATTTATGGAATTATAAAGGAATTTTACAAATAAAATATTTTCAGACAAATAAGTAAAATTATAACAAATTGTTTACAAGAAAAATCCTAAGACATTGTTTAAAAGAATTTACAACGATTTTTTCAATTTTTTCAGAGAATTAAAAAGAAGAATATTCTATTTTTACATAGTTGAAAAGAATTAATGCACATCCGAGTTTGATGAAGAAAATTTAAATATTTATAAATTAATAAGAAAAAAAATTTCACTTTTTCAAATCTAAAAAAGAAGATGTAAATAAGACTTATTAGATATAGAAGATTGACAAATCTTTGAACATGAAAAATTTATAAATTGTTAATAAAAAAAAAACTAGATTATAGTATATTATATATGGTGTTATGTTATTCTATTCAACGATCCAAATACGAACATGAATCATATTTGCGCACCTGCCTTGAATGATAACAATTTCACGCGATCGTCTCTTACAGGATTACGCCAACATTGACGCCCTGTTGCTTTGTTAAAGCTTTGCATCTCATCCATTAATATTACGAAATTTACATAACTTATTCGTTGACAAGGCAGAATATTTCGTACGCAAGCTGTTCTCGAAGAAGACATTTTTGGGAGACTTTTCTTTCGAAAGTGTTCATAGAATTCCCCCTTAAGAAATAATATAAAAATATGTTGTTCTTTAATTTTATAACAAATTGGTATAAAATAAAAAATATTAATATTCAAAATTTTTATTTAAATATAGAAAAGAAGTCTTATATTTAAGAGATTCAAATATTGTAGAAATATTCAAAGATTTAATAATTGAAGAATACCAGAATTCAAGAAATAAAAAATTCCAAAAATTAAGAATTCAAAATTTCAACGAGTCAAGAAATGAAAATTTTCAATTTGGAAACAAATAATAAAAGATTCAAGTAAAGAAATATTCAAATATTCAAAAATATAAATTTTTGAGCGAAGATTTTTATTCTTACAATTCTCAGAAGAATTCAAATAATTATACAATCATTCAAGAATTAATATCTTTGATATTGGATCAAGGAATAATTTCATCGATGATTCAGTCAGTATTGATTACATTGACAAGAATACGGTACGATATCTTATATATCTTACTACCCGCGCCTTTCACTAAAAAAGACGTAACGGAGTACTTTCCGGTACCAAACAAGTCGTAGTTAACCCTGTTTTTTACGTGATACGCATCAATTGAAGCGAGGCCGTGGCAATTAACACATTTCTCGTCATTTATCAAGAAACAAGTCTCGAGAAAAACATATTCGAATGAACTGAGACATGGGAAAACGCAGTAAGGCGCATGTATTGCATTGATTGATTTAACCACAGAATTATGAAGTTTGTTGTTACAGGATACAATTGGCAAGAGAGGCCTTGGAAATGATACTTTCTGAATTCAGTTCTTATTTTATATCATTGATTTCTTCCTTTTGACATGAATTACTCGTCATTGCAATCTAACACAGAGAAAGTTATTCCTTCTATATTTTTTCATTTAAATGAATCATACGATAAAATGGAATAGAAAGTTGCATTAAATAGAAGTGATTATTGAATGATTGTGATTCTATGAATTTATTTATTTTTTGAAACATATTTTATGTATTATTCTTATTTTTCTTGAAATCATAAACTGGAACATAAAATTATACATAAATTTATTCAATGATTATGTAGATTTATTTATTTATTTTTTTTTGCACAAATGTAACTCGTAATAATAAAAAATGTAACTCGTAAAGAATCTTTTTCTTTGAAATAGTAGATACGATAAAGTGGAATACAGAATTGTAGAAATTTATATCAGTCGTTAACTTTACTGGATAAAGTAATTTCATATATTTATCTACATTTTTTTTTATTTTCTGTAAAAGCAATTCTTGAATATAATCAAACACGCAGAAAATTATTCTGTTTAAATATTATAGATATAACAAATTGAAATATAAATATCGTAAATTTATTTCTTACTTTTTATTAAATTTATTCATCATTAATTTTTTTAATGCATCTTATGAAAATAATCTAATCCATTCTTTTTTTTTTTGAAATAATAAATATATTTAAAAGAAACGAAAGAATTTAAAAAATTACTTGTTTATAAATTGATTTTTTATACACAACAACATATAAATTGGAAGATAACAAAATGCATTCAATAATGTTATTCTAGAATATCAACATCTCGATGTATTCGAGCATTACGCATAGATAATATTATCAAACAAGTAACCTCATGACACTGCAAATTATCTCTGCATTAATGAAAAAATTGATGCTTAATCTCGAGAAGATTGAAGACTTATATCTGAAAGAATGACAGTTCATTTAGAAGACGATTATATTTTCTTATAAACAACTTTATGTTATATTTCTGCATGAAGTAATTGTGTATTCAATTTGATTTATAAATCACTTCTGACTTTTTTTTTATGAATATTTTTTATAAAGATAATTCTTAATAATGTCATTAATGTGATGCGTGATTTATTTATGCGATCATGATTTTATTGTCGATATTTTTTGTAACTTGAATTTATCGATTTTGATACCCTTGGAATTAATTACAATAAATTTTTTATTTGGCGTCTTCGTTAACAACAGATAATTGGTAAAATGGCACGCGAATGGGTCGAGGTCTTATGTTTATACGTACACCGCAAAAACCAGTTAGTCTAGAAACAAGCGTATGAGAATCGAAGAACAGTTATGAACGATTGACCTACGGAAAAATCAGAAAACATCATATACATTGATAAAGTTTAAAAGACTTATTATGACATTGTATCATCTAATCCATAGATTTGATTTTTTTAGATTAACGAAAAAGAAACAAACATATTGTGCAAAAACATTTGAAAGAATAAAAATAGATTTAATGATTTGAAAATATAATTCATAAATAGCAAGAAAACAAACAGAGAAAGAAAAAAAAAATTTTTTTTCTTTTTACACCATGATATAAGTGTCGAACATTAATTATTCTTCATTAATCAATAATGACATATCTGCTACTTTGATTTAAAATTCAGATTTCCCTGCGCAAGATCTTATCGTTTATCGAATCATCGTCCAATCGATGGCATAACAAGATTTCTATGCCATATCCACATGCGTCACCTCGATATACGATAACCGAGGTCGTGGCCAGGAATCGAGATGCAAGCCGAAAAAAATATTCAAAATGACATGTATATAAGCGAATATAAGCATATAAGATCATAGTCGCCGTTGTTTCTTACCATTTTATGGAACAATCATATTTCTCTGTTATCACGCGTCTCGACTGGAATTTTGAAAATAAAATTTCATGATTTATAATGATTCTTCTCCAAACCTTATATGTATATATTTTAAAACGTTTTCACTTTGCATCGACTTTAATAAGATTGAGGACAATGTTTATTTGCAATGCAAATTTTGATGCAAAAAAATAGTTTCAGAATTTGTTAAAATATAGAAGAAAAAAAACTTATTTCAATAAGTTTATATTTTCCTTTAGAATTCGAAAACAATTTTTAGTGTTAAAAATATCAATAAATATATCCTTTTAAGCGATTCGCCTTTTAACCATGTTACTACTTTAACAAATAAAAAAAATAATAAATCAACAGTTTTATATGAATCATATATAAAAAGCATATATTTTTTTTTATAAAATTTAAATAAAGAATCTTTTTGAAGAATATTCGAACGAAAATTTCATTTATTATAACCTAAGATTTTCTATCAATTAAAAATTCAACGATGTCATTATATTTTTAACTTCAAATGATGCATTTTTAGAACAATTTTTTTTATAGTTTCCGGCGAGGAAGGACATAGTTATCTCGATTTAAGATTTTCTTTCATGAATTTTTCCAGATGCACACTTGACTTCGGAATTTCACAACAAGCAATGTACAAAACCTGCGTCTGTTTCTTCATTTTTCTCGTTCTTTGAATATGCAATAGCGCCATCTCGCCTACGC